CAGATTTCACGATTTAACTGATAAACATGATAGTCTCTTACTGTAGTAATAGAGTCAGGGAGGCATGTATTCAGTCAAGTTTCACAGACAAATATAATGTTGAATATAGCCATATTTAGTAAGAGGAGGAATTCAGGTATTTTATTTACAAAGCTTCTTGCATTAAGTAGCTTGCATTTAAGGTTGGTAGTAGTTGTTGTAGAGGAAGTTTGGGGCATGCATGCCTAGTTTTGGATGATGGGGGGTTGAATGGGGGAGGATTGGGTGTTAGGATGTGGGTTGTGGGACTTTCTTTTGATACAGTCAGCACGGTAGTCAATGTATAAGTCAGTATGTCCTTGGTCTTGACGTCTTTTAATTTCTGATCGGAGTTAATGGGAGCGGTTTCTTTGCAATATGGATAAGTCAGGATGTGAGCGAAGTTTGTTATGGCTTGTTGATTTTGGTGATTGAATTTATCGTTATGTATGAATATGCATTCGATGGACTCATTTTTGCAAATAACTCTGCAAAATCATGGAGCTACCGAGTCATCGGTATTTGAACTCAGGGCCATCTCTTGAAATTTTGATGATGTCATCAGGGGAGATGTTTATTGGAGTTTTTTATAATGTTGCGATCCTTTGTGATATCATGCTCCTCATTGTTTGGAATTGGAGATTTCTGGGCTTTGCTAGACTCTGCCACTATTGTCAAATTTAATTTTGATTCACTTTATTCATATCTGAACTTCTGTTAAAGGAGAATGTGAAGATTGCAGAGGAACTGAATAATCTTTTGTACTTGTCTTGGTAGTTCTGTACAGATAATATAGGCAGATCCCTGAGCTTTAAGTACATTGGATTTTGTTCTGTCCCCGTCTCACACACGCACACCAGATTTTTTATGAAGGAAAGAGGAAAAATTAAAGCTAATTAGAGTGACAATACAAACTATTCTTGGACATCTGAAAAGACAACACTAAAAAAACCTGAAGATCCTGACATCTTCTGAGTGGGCATGGGAATGTGGGCTCTGAATTCAATGGCATCTCTTTAAGAAGCTGCATTTTTTCCTGGGCTTATCTGGCAGCAAAGTGGTCTCAGAAAAAATCATGTTTGAGTTAGGGAGGAACCAACAGTATACTAGTGGCTACTCCAAAGTATTTTGTTATGTACCACCAGTGCTTCTAAACTCACATATATTAATCTGAGGTTGCTCAGAAAAAAAAGAAGCTTCTTTAAAGATGCATCACCTCATGTAGGATATATGCTGTATCTGTTCCATAGCATGTTTTCAGTTTTCCAATGGCACAATACCTACTTATTAATATTGTACACATATTGTTGCAAATCATTTGGTAAAAATATGTTCTCTATAAATCTTCACTTATGCCAAAGGTAAACATTTAATATAAGAAAGCCAAATCAGTCATCATCATTATCTACTCTTCTGCTCTAACTATTTTGGGCAGATTACTGTGTAATCCTAACAATAAAAATCATGTAATCAATGAAAGAAAATGCAGCATAACATTCTTTTAGGAGCAATAAAATAATAAAGTAATCATCCAATACATAAAACAAATAACATTTATTTTTGTATTACCCAGTACATAAAAAATAACAATTATATCTACATAAATTTAAACTTGCTTATCTGCATCCACTCTTGAGATTAGTCCTTACATTATTGGCACTAGATGCCAGGAACAAATATCATTTATATATGTTGTTGTTGTTAGATGCGAAATCGTGTCTGACCCATCATGGCCCCATGGATAACCTTCCTCCAATAGTTACATTTTATCAGAATTTCAGTTAAATGAAAAACTAGTTCTTAGTAATTTAATAATGTATCAACAGTTAATAAAAAGGCATTTAGGGGAGCCTTAATTGAGCAATTACTTCTACCAAGACCAAAAGATTTTGCTTTTAAAATCAGATAGTGGCATAAATTTACATTAGTACAGTTAGAAAACAGAGATACAATCTAGATTTTATACTTCTGAGTAACCACTTGAATGGCAATTGGAAACACTGCTGAAAAATGTACGACATAAATAGTATTTGTGTGAAATTAATTTTAAAGAAGTACAAAAGCAATGCAAGCTGCATCATGCATATATTTTCTTTTGTACAAGCTCTTCTAAATTAACTTAAATCAGGAATCTCTTGAATTAGCCAGGATGTTCAGCGAGGAGGATTGCAACATGCTACCCCCCCCATTGCCCTACAGAATGCGTCATAGAAATTGTACCAGGAGCAAAACTACCAAAGCCCAAGATGTACTCCATGACCCCCAATGAGATGAGAGAACGGAGAGAGTACATCAACACCAATCTAGCCTGGGGATTTAGCTGACCAAGTCTAGAGTGGCCACTCCAGTCCTCTTTAAAGAGAAAAAGGGCAAGTCGATTAGGGTCTTTGATGATTTTAGGGGAATTAGCACTGTATGTTGGAGAACATGTACTCACTCCCCCTCATGAAAGACATGCCAGCACATCTAGCCAAGGGGAAGGTGTTCATCAAGCTATACCTACGAAAGACATACTACTGGGTGTGAATCAAGGAAGGAGATGAGTGGAAAACTGCTTTCAACTGTCCCTTAGGGAGCTTCCAATTCAAAGTAATACCCTTTGGGTTGCAGGGAGCCCCTGCAGTCTTCATGCAACGGATAAATGAAGTGCTACATGAGGACTCCTGCATAAAGGAGTCCTCATGTATCTGAATGACATTCTTATTTTCACAGAAACTCTAGAGGAGCATTTTAAATTGGTGCTCCAGGTGTTGAAAAACCTCCTCATGGCCAAACTATACCCGAAGCTGTCAAAATGCAAATTCCACAAGACTAGCTTAGACTATATGAGCTACGGAGTGTCAAGTGAGGGTACAGAAATGGATGCAGCTAAAGTTAAAGTGGTCTTAGATTGGCAATCCCCTCATAGTCCAAGCTGATATGATATGCTACCAGTGAGAGGAGTTGCTATCTGTAATCATCGTTTGATGGATCTGCTACCATCGTGGTTTGTGAACCAGAGTGAGTTTGTTATTCTAATCAACTACTGTTTGTTTGATAAGAAGATATCTGTAACTACTGGACTGATTTACTGGCAAAGACTTGGAATTTGTTTAGACTATGAGACTGTTTTTCTACTATAAAGTAAGCTTTTGATAAACCAGTTTGCATATCTCTTATTCATTGCTCTCAGCAACGTTTACTCTGCTGAAAGGAAATGCAGCATAACATTCTTTTAGGTGCAATAAAATAATAAAGTAATCATCCAATACATAAAACAAATAACATTTATTTTTGTATTACCCAGTACATAAAAAATAACAATTATATCTACATAAATTTAAGCTTGCTTATCTGAGATTAGTCCTTACATTATTGGCACTAGATGCCAGGAACAAATATCATTTATATATGTTGTTGTTGTTGTTAGATGCGAAATCATGTCTGACCCATCGCGGCCCCCATGGATAACCTTCCTCCAGGCCTTCCTCCAGGCCTTCCCAAGCTCACACCGACTGCTTCAATGACTCCATCCAGCCACCGCATTCTCTGTCATCCCGTTCTTCTTTTGCCCTCAATCTTTCCTAGCATTAGGCACTTCTCCAGTGAGTCCTTGCTTCTCATTAGGTGGCCAAAGTATTTAAGTTTCATCTTCAGGATCTGGCCTTCTAAAGAATAGTCAGGGTTGATCTCCTCTAGGACTGACCAGTTTGATTGCCTTGCAGTCCAAGGGACTTGCAGGAGTTTTCTTCACCACCTTTCCTCCCCAAGATCAAGCATCTTTTAATTTCTTGGCTGCAGTCCCCATCTCTGGTGATCTTGGAGCCCAGGAAAATAAAACCTGTCACCACCTCCATTTCTTCCCCATCTATTTGCCAGGAATTGAGGGGGGCGGATGCCATGATCTTAGTTTCCTTAATGTTGAGTTTCAAGCCAACTTTTGCATTCTCCTTCTTTACCCGCATCAAAAGGCTCTTTAGTTTCTCTTCACTTTCTGCCATTAGAGTGATATCATCTGCATATCTGAGGTTGTTGATATTTCTCCCAGCAATCTTAATTCCAAATTGTGATTCATCTAGCCCCGCCTTTCTCATGATGTGTTTTATTTAAGCTTTAAATTGAGTAATTTTTCATAACTCAATATAAAGTGTTAAGGATATTGCTGTTGTGGCCATCACAGCAGTTCTGCTACAGTGACTTGCAAACATGTGCATACACCTCCAAAAAATTGAAAAAGACTGAGAGGAGATGGGTGGTGTGGGAGAAGAAAGCCTATGTGGTCTGATGGACCTTACTGACCTGGAGACACTTTCTTGAGGGCAGCCTTGTGCTGTTCGAAGTGTGGACTGAACCCAAGAACCCAGAGGCACTCAAATGCTCATGAAAACTCTCCCCAAAGCAAGTTCATTGGGGGCAATATTTCAAATGGTTCAATTTTGAGCTAAAATACATCTTGGGGGGGGGACCTTCTGGTAGATGCTCTATCATGCAAGCCACAATACAATAGTAAATGTGAAGAGGTGATCCATGCTATGATCCCCCTCCCAACCTGCCTCGCAGGCCACAACTAGGTGACAGGTTAAATGAAGAAAAACCCCAGACGGGGGCGGGGGGAATGGCCCAAAAACTAAGGGACCAACTGCCAGCTGACCCATGGTACAGAGACAACAAATAAGCACTGACAAATTGTATGTGCCCAATAGCCTGCAACTCCAAGTACTCCAGAGAAGTCACAATTCCAAGCAAGCAGGGCACTTTGGCTATTTGAAAACCCTGCATCTGGCCAGAAGGCAATTTTGATGGCTGAAGATGAAAAAAGACATTGAGGATGATGTTAAAAGCTATGCCACTTGTGCAGCCATGAAGAAGATGTTAAATTGAGGGATCTAGCCCAATAACTCTCAATACAAAGTAATGGTTGTTGCAGCTTATTTATTTGTGAGCAAAAATATGGCATAGGCCTAAATATACATTTGTAACTGACCTTTGTCTTCTCTTCACAGGTATGTAGTTGGAACTGGCTTGGTCCCCATGTGGCCGGTCTTTTGTACCCAGGGGGAGGAGTTAAAGGTAAGGTGGGATTGTGGGAGTGATGGGTTGTGTAGTTGTGTTAACCCTTACTAGACCATAGAGAAATAGGAGCACATGTAAGTTAGACATTTTACGTGACAGAAGAGGCAAGGAAAACCACCAGGATTGCTTCAGCAACCTGGGAAGAAATTGCCATGGACTTTATTATCGAGCTCCCTGAGAGTGGGGAGAATATGGTCATTTGGACTGTGATAGATTTGTTCTCAAAGCAAGACCATTTCATAGCTTGCCCAGGGCTCCTGTCAGCAAAAAAGCTGGCCAAGTTATTTGTAAGACAGATTTATAGGATGCATGGCTATCCCAGCAGGATTATCTCTGATAGAGTGGTCCAATTCACTGCTAAATTCTGGAGGCTTAGCTCAGTGTTTCATCCAAGTACTAATAGGGCTGTGGAACACATGAACACCATGGTGGAGCAGTATTTTAGATGCTATGTCAACTATCAGCAGTCTAACTGGGTGGAGTTGCTGCCATTAGCTGAGGTGGCATACAATAATACGGTGCTCAGGCACTGGCATGAGCCCTTTTCAAGTCACCATGGCATGGAATTCATCCTGATGCCTGAGTTCCTCAGGGAGCCCCCCTCATCCATGTCACTAAATGAATGGATGGAGTCACTGAAAGACATGTGGGAAAATTCCAAACTGACTTTACACAAAGCAGCAAAAACCCATAAAACACAAGCCAGTATATGCCTCAGCTCCCAAGTGCCATTCCAAGTGGGGAGCAAAGTTTACTGCTCAACAAAGTACCTAAAGTTAAAACTCCCTTGCAAGAAAGTAGGATCATAATGGTCCTACAATGAAAGTAATCAACCCTGTTACAGTACAACTTAAACTTCCCTGCCTGTTAGGGAAACTGCATCCGGTCTTTCACAACAACTTGTTAAAGCTGTTGGTAGGCTCCCAGATCAGGCTGGTAGATCAGGCAGCCTCAAAACCAATAGTGGTGCAAGGGGAGATACATTACAAGGTAAATAAAATCCTAGATTCCAAATTGCACAGGGGGCGGTTGCAGTACCTAGTGCAATGGAAGGGGTACCCACTCTCTGAAGCTATTTGGGTCAAGAGCTGAGATGTGAAGGCAGATAGGTTGGTCAAACAGTTTCATGAGGAATACCCCCAGAAACCTAAGGGGGCCCCAGGGGGAGGAAGGGGAAGTTACCTCTTGCATAAGTAAGTAACCTCTTGCATTTTCTTTTCTTTGCAGGAAGTCATTTTCAGTTAAGGAGGATCACCTGTCAACCTTGAAGCTGATCTGACTGAGGCCATTTTGGGGTTTCAGTGTTGCCACACTGGAGCTTGGAGATAGGGAGGAGGAACAGAAATAGTTGGTGGTTGTAACCAAAACAAAATATTTTCTTCTGGGAACATTCCCACAGGTGGTTGGAGAAAGAGGAGTGATGTTACCAGGCAACCGGATGATACCTTGATTGAACCATGTGACTGATTGTTTGGGGAAGGGAGGAAACTTTTACTTTTAATTATGTGAAAGCCACGGGAACATTCAGAGTTGGTTTTCACCAGCCATACCAAAATGATATATCGAAATAAAATTATTCTTTGAGAAATCTACTTGCCTCAGAGTTATGTTTGCTAAGGCTGCATTACTTGGAATCCTGACACAATGCATCTTTCAGCACTTTCAGTACCAACCACCTATGAATGGAAATTGAAACTCATACATTTGAAGAGTCCTAGGACTATCTTAGAATTTATTTTTCAACCAGTATACTTTTGATCAATTGATATTTAAAAACCCCAAAGTCTGTAACTTACCCACAGGAAATATAATCCTATCATTGTTCACACCTGCTAGAATACCACAAAGTGATGGTAGCCATGGTGAAAGCATGAAGTGAAATAAAGGGCTGAACACAGAGAGCCTAAGGCAGTAGGATGAAGTGGAACTAGGCTTCCTCAAAGGCTTCTCTGTGAGGCAATTTAGCCTCAGGTAAATATACTGACTGTAAGATTCTCTGAGGGGCACAAGAATTTGGACATATTTAAACTCCTCAGATTTACATAGCACACTTTTCATAGTCACAATATGTGATCCGGAAGATAGTAGAAAGTAAAGTAGGTTTAGGAAAATAAAGTAGGAAAATAAAGCACAGCTGCTGCTGCCTAGTTTGGGTATTGCAACTCTGCAAGAAAACAACCAAGTTCCAAGAGCACCAAGGACGCCTCAATAAACTACTTTTTTCCTACTTACATGACAACAAGTATGCTATAGTTTCAAAATTCACTACATTTGTGCTTTTGTTCATTCCTATAGTGAGTGAAAGAACCACATAATAAATATGCCTGTTAAACAGCACTACAAAAATACAAATAAATACAATCTATTAATCTGTCAGTGACTTTGGGTTGGCTGCTGTAACTATATTGATGCCAAAAATAATCTGTGTGATGATGTCATTTTGTGCATGTGGTAAGTTGCTAATTTTAGGTATTAGCATTACATAATTATGTATGTAAGTTCCATAATTTCCCTCTTTTTTTCCACCTCATGCTTGCCTGTGGCTAATAGTGCATTGACTTGCAAGGTAATCTCTAAATTAAAGAGCCTAACTTCATAGACATCATGAGCATGCCTGAGGTAAAATTTGCTTATGGCGTAAAATATGTCAAAATGGTTGGGTACTGTGTCCTTACCATTAACAGGCAATGCTGCATGGCTATGATAAAGATAATAATGAATAAGATTAAAAGCATGATGTGAAAGCTTCATTTAACCAAAGCTATGATAGGTAGTAATCAACTATTGCTTACTCTCTCTCTTTTTTTTTATGATTTCCATAATGTTGCTCACAATGACAGGGAATAGTTGGATGGTATATAAGTATAAAGCCGATTTTTAACCACTGCCTTTTTCATTGTTATTCAGGAAAAAGCTGGAATAAGTAAAGCATTGTTTGCTGTCTGACTAAAAATAAACAGCAATAGAGTCATGCAAATTTCTCAGGAAGATATTCCAAATTCTGAGTGCCACCAAAAAAGGATATGTTGTAACCATCAGATCCCAGAGGAGAAGGATTTCAGAAATGGACACTGTGCTTGGAAAAGTTTATATGGGGGAAGCAGGATACAATGTACCCAAGCTTTGCAAGGGTTTAAATAGAAAAGTCTTAGTTTACATATACTGGTAGTTTGGAAATAAGCGGATAAACAATTGGGAGGTAGAAAGGAAGTCAGACCAATAAAATGCTTTAATTGCTCTGATTTTTCACTACAAATCAATCAATCAATCAATCAGAATAGAACTTGGATTATTTTGGATTATTTTAATATGTTTTAATTTTAGTATGTTTGGATTATTTTAATATGTTTTATTTTAATATAATTTGGATTATTTTAATATGTTTAATATGTATTTTAACATGTTTTATCTGGTTTGATTTTAATTGTTGTGAGCCGCCCTGAGTCCTATGGAGATAGGGCAGCATACAAATCAAATAAATAATAATAAAAATAAATAATAATAACTGGAAGGAACCTTGGAGGTCTTCTAGGCCAACCCCCTGCTCAAGCAGGAGACACTATACCATTCCAGGCAGGTGGCTCTTCAATCTTTTCTTAAAAACTCCAGTGATGAACCACCTACAACTTCTGAAGGCAAGCTGTTCCACTGATTAATTGTCATCACTGTTAGGAAGTTTCTCCTTAATTCCATGTTGCTTCTCTCTTTAGATTCCCATCTATTGTTTCCATCTATTGTTTCTTGTTTTGCCTTCTGGTGCTTTGGAAAATAAATTGACCCCCCTCTTTGTGGCAGCTTTGGAACACTGCTGTCATTCACCCCTAATTCTTCTTTTTCTCTAGACTGGCCACGCCCAATTCCTGCAACTGTTCTTATGTATTTGTCTCCAGGCCCTCCAGATTATCTTAGTTGTTCTTCTATGCACTTTTTCCCAAGTCTCAACATCTTTTTTGTAATGTGGTGAGCAAAACTGGATGCAGTATCCTGGTGTTGTCCTACTAAGGATTTATAAAGTGGTACTAATACTTCATGTGATTTTGATTCTATGCCTCTATTTATACAACTAAGAATTGTATTAGCTTTTTTGGCTGCTGCCGCACACTGCTGACTCATGTTTAAGTGATCGTCTATTGGGATTCAAAGGTCAATCTCACAGTTACTGTTTTTGAGCCAGGTTTCACCTAATCTGTACTTGTACCTTTGGTTTTTTCTGCTTAGGTGTAAAACCTTGCTTTTCTCCACATTAAATTTCATGTTGTTGGACCCATGATAGGACCCATTGTTCAAGTCTCTCAAGATTTATTATTATTTTTTTTTGAATCCTGTGCTTGTTTTCTGTGATGTTGGCTAATTTAAAAATTTCAAACAATTACTACCTATTTATTCAGCAGCAGTTTCTGTGACCTGAAGAGGAATTCATTGTTATTTTGTTTATTAATGGGACAAAATGAATGGGGTATTGAAGGAATGGGATATTTTGACTTAGTAAATTGTAATTTACGATAATATAATTTCCATTAGGAAATAATTTCAAACACCAAAATTTAAAAGTTGTGATTAAAATTATTAACAGTTTTTTAAACAGGAAACCTTACCTTCACAAAATGCCAGGCCAACTCTATCTATGAAGAAGCTGTCAATAAATTTTCTTTATCCTTTGGTGATAATCATCACAATGACAAAGTTCTGAGCTTTAATTGCTTTTTCTCATTATATGTATCAGTGTGAGAAAAATATTTTCTTCTATGATTTCTCTACCTTATTGCCACTTCTCACAAATTATGAATCTCTGTTATATCAATTATGCTAAGCTCTGGTTGTAATCAATGCGAAATCATGATTTCAAACAGCAATTTAGCATTTCAAAACTGATGATCCTGTCATCAAATTATGCTAAGCCAAAACCAGAAACCATATTATAATTTAACATTATATGTAAAGTCAATTAATTTATTTGACTGGTGGATTCAGCAAATAACTTCCCCTGGCATACTTTCCATTGATTATATGAGTTTCTTCTTTTGAACATCACTGTGCAACTTGTCCTTTTTCAGAAAAGTCCTTTTTCAGTTACAATGAAAATGATTTATGAGCAAATATTATCAGCATATTTCGGTTAAGTATTTAAGCAGAAAACATTTAAAATATTATAGTAGTTTGATCATTTATTGTGGTGTAGAATGTATAAATACTTTTATCCTGCTGCCATTCCTTTTTTCCATTTATCAGCTGGAATGAAACAAATTTTAGAACATAGGTCTGATATATAAATAGATAATATAAATATTAGATGAGTGCACACATAAAATACAAGCTCTACCTTTTGAAGTTTTCATTCAGTCTCATTGATTGTTCATTGAAGTTGCATTCTCCGTATTGCTTCACAGTACTTTCAAGAATTGGACATTCATTCATTCATTCATTCATTCATTCATTCATTCATTCATTCATTCATATTTTTTTGCATTTAGATACTGCCCATCTCACACACAAAATGATTCTGGCAGGTAAAAATACAAATACCTAAAATATATAAAAATACAAAAAAATTACAGATTAATTTTAATCTTTAATACAGATTAAAACCAAGAATAAAATAAATTAAGAGATGGGGGAAGGCCATCAACAAATCCCAGAGTTTCATGTTGCTAAGTCAGCCCCATGTGAGTTGGCAGAGCCAGTACTTCAGACTAGGGTTGCCAGGTCTGCTTCCAAAAAATAGCGGACAAGCGGGGGAGGGGGGGTGTTGAGTAGTAAAAAAATTAAAAAATTTTTTACAATTAAATTATATATTTTCTTACAAACATTTTAACACGTATTAAAATAATCACTTCAAAACTTTACTTAAAATTCAAAACATCAAATATATTATAATAATATGTAAAATATTAAATTACATTTTACTTTGCTGTCGTGTGTATTTTTTATTTGACTGCGCAGCTTTGATCAATTCTTTGTGTTTAAGGAATAATTCTTTAATTTCAGTACAACGTTGAGAAATATTAAAAAATATACAAAGTTCACTTCAAATTGATGGTACAAGCAGTCGGTTACGTTTGTCAGTCCACAAATTTCCCATGACACTGAAAATTCGTTCAATGTTTGCATTTGATACGGAATTGATGCACAGTACTGGAACAGTTTCAGTAAACTCAGAGCTGGCTCTTTCTTGAAAAAGTACGTCCACTTATCAAGGGATGAATCGCCCTGCAGATGAACATAAACTTCTTCTAAGGCAGAAATTTCATTGAAGAGAGTGTTGGGTGGAAGTTCTTCTCGCCATGGTGATAATAACCAGATGTTCGTCATTTCTTCTAAAGTTGGAGCATTATTGCAATCAATTAGATTGAAACAACTTAGCGTCTCATATACTGAATCGGTGAAATTATACCACTTTTCTAGGTATGCAATGGCTCTTTGATACACGTTGACAGCTTCTTTCTTGAACTTTGAGCAAATGTTTTTTACGTAAGGCAAATAAAACTTTCATTCCAAAAAACTGCTCATCGTATTTTTTTTTGCAAAGAATCATGCAGCTTACACATGATAATGTGAAGATCACATGCAAGAATTTTCTTGCT